GTTTCAGGCTAAACCTCCCAGGCCTGGATTGGTCCGTTACTTCCCAGGTTATAACCTTCCTTATGCGTTTCATCTAGGTTTCCCCCTTGATATGTTCAAGCATGTCCCCATCCCTTGTCATATGTCCCATTGATGGGGGCAGGGCCCAAGCCAAGATCTTCACCCTTTGCCCCAAAGGGAATCTGACTCCCAGGCCCCAGACCCTCATCTCCCTTTGAAAGCCTTAGCCTTACCTGTTAATCTTATTCAGACGCACCCTAAAAGAATCTGGCTCCCTTTTGTCTATAGGCCCCAGAAAGGTCTTCTCCTGTCTCAAACTGTTCCTTATCAACTCCCCTTATCTCCTTTTGAAAGTCCTAGCCCCATCTTGATTTTGTGCAGATGCCTTTCAAGCTTCTGCCTTCCTGTTCCCTCCATTAGCTATTCCCATTGTCTATTCAATCTGTCTGACCTCCCCAATTAGAATTCTTACCTAGACCCTTTTCCCAACCCCCTTCTCTGGCCACCCAAAGTTACTTTAGTATTTAAGATCCACCTTGGCCCTCATTCAGATGCTGAGAATCTCAGGCCCACAAGGCTGAGCCTTTCTCATGCCTACCTGTCCTTACCGGCTGACACCACCTGGCCTCTGGCTGAAGAGGATTTGAGTTGAATTCATTCAGCAGGGCCCGGTTCGGTGATTTTGGGTTTGCAGTACCCCAAAAGTCCTAGACCTCTTCACCATGATCTGTTCATGAGGCTCTAATTTTATGTGGGTTGTGTCAGTTAATAGTAATGAAGTTCATCAAACATGCCCGATAACATTTTGCTAGTGTCCTAGGGTTGACCCCAACTGGCCAGAGCTGGATTGACCCTTATCTTGATTTTGGAGGGTCTTCTTAGAACTATCAGCTTACTTTTTTTTGGCAGTTGGGGTTAAGTGACTTGCCCAGGGTCACACAGCTAGTGTCGAGTATTTGGTCTGAGGCCACATTTGAACTCAGGTCCTCCTGGCTTCAGGGCCAGTGCTCTATCCACTGCAAGCTTACTTCTTATTGGCTAAGCCCACCCGCAGCATAACTGCTTCCTTGAGTTGTTTTTATAACTCTCTGCACTCTTCTACCTTTGTGGAAACTTAACCCTTGCCCGACTCCCACACCAACTTAGTATATATATTGATTTTTTTCTCATTTCAAACATGGGGGACTGAGATATCAAAGACATAGAACAGTGAAAATTCATGGAAGAAAAAACATGCAAGTCTGGTGGGACAGCCCACTAAGCCACAGCATTTCACAGCATTTGGAAATGAAACTGAAAGAGACTCACACTGGAACAGTATGTCCTATTTCCAGTATCAGTCACACAAATGTATTCTTAGTATGTACTAAATGAGGAAGTAGAAATAGAACTTCAGAGAAAACACTGCTGGAACAACTAGAACAAGATACCCACTGCAGAAATCCAGGCTGGAGCTATGCAGGGTGCAGAGCCCTGGGGTGTCATTTTATAAGAACTCTCAAACAGGGGAAGATAGCAAAAGTACGAATAAAAAATGGGACCATCAGTAACTACAAACCTACTTTCTTATTCAACAAACACTTATTAAGCACTGACAGGGTGCTTGGGCCTCAGCCCTAAGATGGCATCTTTGACAGCCCTCCCAATTTCTCAGGAGGCTCCTGTTCTGTGAGAAAGTTTTCTCTTGCTGCAGAACACATTCTCTTATCAGGACAGAGGGGTGCCTGGCCCAAGGGCTCTAGGCACCAGATCCCCAAGGATCTCTCAGCTCCCTCAATGTCTGATACAGTCCCTACACTTTCCTATCCATAGCTCCCAGATGCCTAGACTGCTAGATTACCTAATTAGCACCCCTGGCATTCCTTTCCCTTGCCCCTTTTCCATAACACCAGCACCATCTTCACTCTCTCAGGTTCCATAAGGACCTTTGCCCACTTTTGCTAAAGTGTTACAGTAAACATTTTGCCACTTGACTAAGAGCAGGCTTGAGTGTGTGAATCCATTCCAGGCAACAATGCCTTGGCATTCTCGGGGTCCCAGCACCCCAAAACTTCAACAGCACCTACAATGTACAAAGTACTGGGAATATAAAGATTAAAAAAAAAAAAAGCCCAGGCCCTGCCCTTGTCATCTTATTACATTTATCAAGAGATTACACTGGTGTCATGCAGAGAATGAGCCTTAGAGTCATGAAGACTTGGTTCAAGTCTTACCTTTGACACATTAGATACAAAATATGGATTTAGCCTCTCAGTTTTCCTGACAGGGGGTCATTCTAGGCAGAGAGGACAAAATAAGCAGAAATTTGGAATTGGGAGAGGAAAAGATGAAAATGGGAGTTGAAGAAAAGTATAATTTGAATCCACAGCAGACTATGAAGCATGAGATAGATAAGTTTGGATAGGTCTGAGTGGGATTGTGGAGGGCTCTGAATGCTCAGGAACAGGAATATATTTGGTAGGCGACAGTAAGTTACTAAAGAGGTATTAAGTAATGTTTCAGCAAATAATTAAATTCAAAACAACTGGATTAGGGTAAAACCTCTAGCAGTCAAAGCAGGCTTTCTTAACCTAGAATATGTGAAGTTTTATTTTTTAAAAAACAATTTTGTAACTGTATGTCAGTATAATTGTTTTCCTTTGACTGAACAACATCTGACTCTTCATGACCCCTTTTGGGGTCATGAATCTTGGCATGCATCTTGCATGAATCATGCCCGTGTCTTAGCAAAGATACTGGAGTGGTTGGTCATTTCTTTCTCCAGCCCATTTTATAAATGAGGAAAATGAGGCAAAAAGGGTTAAGCGGCCTGCCCAGGGTCACACAGCTAGTAAATGTCTAAAGCTGGATTTGAATTCAGGAAGATGGGTCTTCCTGACTCTAGGCCCTGCCCTCCATTCACTGTGCTACCTAGCTGTCCCCCTATGTATTCTACTGCATTCCAAAACGTTATTCTGAGAAGAGATTCACAGGCTTCACTTAAGAATTCCTGAGTACTAGAGGAATTGGGAAAGGCTTCTTGGAGTATATGACATGTGAGCAGAGCTAGAAAGGAAGCAAAGGCTTAGAAGAGAAGATAGAAGGAGGGAAGGAATTGCAGGCATAGGCCAGAGAAATGCACAGATGATCCCTCATGAATGCCACCAGAGAGAGAACTCTGCTCAGCGACCATTAGAGACACTGTGAGGCAATAAGCCAGGGAGATTTATACTCTCACTAAAGGTGCTCATCACTGTCATGGAGAATGTCTTATTCAGAATCAAAATGGAAGAAGGATTCCCTACTGCCCGGAAGTTCTACCTTTGTGTGTGTCACGGGCTCCCCGTTAGCAGTCTAGCAAGCCTAGGGAGCCCTTCTCAGAATAATTTTTTTAAAAAGTCATAACTTAAGGAAATGCCAAATTTTAGCTAAAGGTTAGAGAAAATAAAGATGTATATTTTTTCCTCATTCAAATTCCCAGACCCAAGATTAAGAATCCTTGCTATTGATAGTGAAACAATTCCATTTTGCTCCTGCCTGTTTATATCATGAAGACCCAGAACATTACACAGCCTCCTCAGTGAGATCCGTGATTACTCATCAAAAGATACTAGCCTAACAATCCATACAGGAAAAACTAAATGGATGAAGAATGCCTACTCTGCAGACTATGAAATACAGTTGAAAGACTACTCCATTGAGACAGTAAATTGGTAATTAGATCTAGGACAAGGACTGCAGATGGACAATGAGTGGGGCCCAAAACTGAAGAGAAGGAAAAGGGGAGGCTGGATTGCATTTGGGAAGCTACATAGTGATCCAGGCCACTCTCCAACACAAATATCTACACTTTTTAAATGTAAATGTTTTCCTGGGAATACTGTATAGTTGCAAATTTTGGAACAGTGTAAGAATCAAAGCTGCATGTAGTTAAATCTAAAATTCAGCAGAGAAGTACACGATGGGAGCAAGCGATATATATTCCCAAAGGTGACTTAAATGCAAGAAGCGGTCTATGGGGGTTTATCAAGGAAATATATGAAGGAAGTAGGCTAGCTACGTACAGAGTGGGAAACTGAAAATTTTGTTAAATTGATGTGTTAAATCAATTTTGTTAAGACATGATCAAGCTAGCCTAGATTTAACATTAAATAAGAAAGTATTTTATTAATGCCATTTGTCCTTACGTGGGCATAGTAGCAGTTAGGTGGCTCAGTGGATAGAGAGCACTGGGGCTGGAGTCAGGAAGACTCATCTTCCTCAGTTCAAATCTGGCCCCAGATATTTACTAGCTAATCACTTCACCCTGTTTGCCTCAGTTTCCTCATCTGTAAAATGACCTGGAGAAGGAAACAGCAAACCACTCCAGTATTTTTGCCAAGAAAACCCCAAATGAGGTCACAAAGAGTTGTACATGACTGAACGATAACTGAACGATAACTGAACAACCACCACAACAGCCTTACACAGAAATAGATCGTGTGCAGGCCTTTGTGTCCCACAATTTCAACCTCAACAAGAAAGCCAGCTCTCCAGAGGGACAACAGATGGTGAACCTGCAGGCTGCCCTGGTCCTCGTGAAGTAAAGACATGGAAAAAGCCTGCAACAGACTGGGTAAATCCTTTATGGAGAAAATCTATGGATTACAGCACAGATACAGAGCTGGAAGGGATTTTAGAGGCCACTGAGTCCAACACATTCATTTTAACAGATGAGGAAACTGAGGCCTGGAGAGCTTAAGTGACTTGACCAGAGTGACTAGTAATGTCTGAGGCAGGATTTGAACTCGGGTTTTCTCAACTCCAAGGCCACCTACATCCTGGAAGAACTAGGACAGCAAGTCCACAAGATACCCTGGTTAGTGTGAACTGAATGCAAGGAATGGCCACATCAACTCTACCACAGACCAAAGTATTAAAGAAGTGAACACTATGGACAGACTCATCGACATCCAAGAAACAGAACTGGGCGCTCTGCACAAAATGCACTATTTTGTATTGAAACATAAAAAGTAACTTACCTGTTTGCTATGACTTTGTCTCCCTGTTTTCTTCTTTGATTCTTTCTTGGGACTAAAGAGAAAGAGACAAGAGAGTTTTTTAAAAATGCTAAAGTTTATGTTAGGAAACCATTGCCACCTTCTTTGCAGCCACCTATGTTTCTTTTTTTCCCCTTTTTCTTTTGGAGGCAGTCAGGTTTAAGTGAATTGAATTGGCCAAGGTCGCACAGCTAGTGAGTGTCGAGTGTCTGAGGCCACGTTTTGAACTCAGGTCCCCCTGACTCCAGAGCCAGTGTTCTATCTACTGTCCCCTAACCATTTACTGTTCAAATGCCTCCTTGATATTATCTGTATCACTACTGCTCTATTCAATGAAAATTAAAGCCCTGAAACCTGGCAGCTAGGCAGTACAGTGGATAGATCACTGGACCTGGAGTCAGGGAGACCCAAGTTCCAATCTAGCCTCCAACACGTACTAGCTATGTGAAACTGGATGAGGCACTTTGTCTGCCTCAGTTTCCACATCGGTAAAATGGGGATAATAATAACACCTACCTCCCAGGGTTGTTGTAAGGACAAAATAAGATAACATTTATAAAGCAACACTGGTAGACCTCAAGGTATTATATAAATGGCAGCTATTATTATTATTAATATAATCTCTATTTCTGTCTTCTCTCCTTTTCATAACCAGCTTTCATAAAAGTATATTCTGTCCTCTGAATTTCCATTTTTCCACCTTCCAAATCAGCCTCTCAGCCATCCCACTTCTACTTCTACCCCAGCCTAAACGGTGTTTGTTTCTGAAGGGCACTTAGCAATGTTAGCAACAAAAACGAGGTATAAAAAGAAAAATTAAAAGAACAGGTGGGGGGGGGAGTGGAAGGAAATTAAAAGAAAAAAAAGTACCAGCAAAGAAAAATTTACAAATCTCTATCTGCACTTAAGTTGAATGTATATTTTGAAAATCCAAGAGAGACAAGGAAAAAAAATTCATGGAGGTAATCATGATGTGGGCAGCTAGGTGGCTCAGTCGATAAAGCAAAAGGCCTGGAGTCAGAAAGACCCGAGTTCAAATCCAGTCTCAGACACTTGTTTGGCTGTGTGACCCTGGGTAAGTCATTTAACCCCTCTTTGCTTCAGTTTCCTCATCTGTAAAATGAGACGGAGAAGCAAATGACAAACCGTGCCAGCATCTCTGCCAAGAAAACTCTCAATGGGGTCACAAAGAGTCAGACACAAAATGACTCAACAAATCGTGATGTGTGGAAATACTGCAGGATTCGGTGTTGGAAGAGCTGGATTTGAATCCTGTCACTTACTGCCTCTGGGAACTTAGGTAAGTCACAACCTCTCTGGGCCTCAATTTCCTTACATGTAAAACGTCCAAGGAGGATGGCCAAGATGATATTTAAGATCCCTTCTCAGTCTAAATCTATGCTCAGAATATAAGATAACTCCCACTAAAGTCATCTCCATTTCAATACACCGTCCATCATCAACAACAAGAGAAAGGAAAGGTAGAACAGCCTTCACAAGAATGATAAAATATAAGCCAATATTTGGGCATAAACTTATCAAGGTCTATGTCACCAAAGCCCTCTGTCCAGGCTTTATCCTTCTTGATCAACACCACCTAGCCCTACTCCACCTCTCCCAGCTTTCTATTCTTGGCTTTCATAACCCTCCAGATTCCAGATCTCCTGCAGATCATTCTTTCCCTAGGGCTCCGGCTCCTCCTAGCCCTTAAGCCCAAGTTTCCCAAGGCTCTGTCCTATAAGCATTGTCCTTTCTCTTCACTCTCTTCTCCTTGGCAATCTTATCCACTCCTAGGGTCAAACAGGCTAAAGGATTTCCAAAGTCCCCTTCTAGCTCAGTCATGCCATGGCCTCTAAATAGACAACACTCAGGGCTTCCTACCAGAGTTTCTTAACTATAGGCCAGTCCTGCTTACGACTTGAACTCAGAATGTCTTCTCCCAGACAGACTGCTCTTCTAGTCTTCCCTGTCTCCATAATAATGATGATGACAACAATGACAAACATAGCATTTATGCAGAAACTTACAAATACCATCTCATCTGAGCTTCACAACAACCCTGGAATTTCCAGAATTGCTGATCCTCATTTTTACAGGTGAGGAAACTGAGGCAGACAGCAGTTAAACAACTTGCCCGGGATTACATAGCTAAGTGCCAGAGGCCAGATTTGTACTCAGGTCTGGGCCCAGGGCTCTATATGCTTCACCATCTCAGAGGGTGCCTCAGGGGGACCTCAGAGGGCACACAGTGCAAAGGAGACCTGAACAAGAGTCCTCTTCTAACATTTTTTTAGCTTCTAGTTGAAGACCTGGAGAAAGCTGCAAGGGGTCCCTCCCATGACCACACATTCCACTGTTGGACAACTCCTACTGTTAAGCAATTGGGATGGGAAATTGTTGTTCACCCCCAGCCTCAACATACCTCTCTGTAACATCCACCAGTTCCTGACTATCCTTTGGGACCCCACAGAACAATTTTAATCCCACACCAACAGAGCGACCAAATCCATGAAGTGACCCCACTTCATTCCCCTACCAAGCCTCCTCTTCTTTTCTCCAGGAGGACCAACATCTCTGCTTCCTTCAACCCATTCTCATCTATGGCTGGCCTGCAGCCTTGTCATTAAGCTGATTTTCCTCAGCTGGACACACTGCCTATTGCTGAAAGGATTAAGTACAAACTTCTTAACCTGGTATTTAAAGTCCTTAACAGCTGGATTCAAACTTAACCTTTCAAGTTTGATTTCACTATCCCCCTGGCCTTTCCCTTCTCCCACCCTTTACTCTAAGGCACATCTCATCTCTACTGATGAAATTCCCCTCCTTCTTCAAGAAGGCACAAACCTGCCCTGACTCCTTACCTACTTAAAGAGACTGCTTCCTCCTCAAATTTTTACTGAAACATTTTGTCTGGATCTCTCCTTTACCTCATCACATTCTACCTTGTCAATCGATTATTGCATATATATAGATATATATATATCTATATATATCTCACTTAATTGCAAACATATCCTGTGTCCCTTTTCATCTTTGCACCCCTGGTGCAAATACAGAACAGATGTTTAATAATCATATTGTTGAATTTAAGTTGAAGCCATCATTGTGCCAGACTGTATAGGGCAGGGATTCAGGGATCTATTCATAGACTTCAGTTGGTCCATGAACTGGGAAGGGAAAAAAATTATCTTTTTCACTAACTTTTGGTTGGCTTTGTAAGCTTATGTATTTTACTTCTTGCATTTAAAAAGCATTATTCTTTATTTGTTTGGTTTTTATTCCAATACAGTTTTTATTTAGTATCAGTGATGTATAAGAAAAACAAACAAAAAGCTAAAACAAAACAACGACAAATCCTTCCATTTTCAACCACACTACCAAAAGGGGTTGGTGAGATTATTGTCAAATTTTTGTCTAGGTTAAAAAAAAAACACCTGCACACCTAAACAAATGTAGTTCCATGTATTTCTTTCTTTAGTAAAATTTCTGTTTCCATTACTTAAAAAAAAAAAAAGGATTATTCTGAGAAAGGTTCTGTAACTTCACCAGACTGTCAAAGAGGTCCACGATACAACAAAAAGGGCCTCCAGCACCAGCCTGAAGAATCTGAACTGTATTCAGCACGTAATAGGAATCGATAGACACAGTTTGGTATAAAAGATACAGAGATGGCTTTGGATCAGAAAGGCCTGAGTCTCATTCTGTGTGGCTTTGGGAAAATCACTTAACCTCTCAATGCCCTGGCAACTCTCTAAGCCTACAAATCATAAAGCAACTGCCTATCTACACTGGTAGAGAGTTTCCTCACTGAGAATTTCCCACACCAATGAAATTCCAGATCTAGTTAAAACCAAACCAAAACAGGAAAGTGCTGAAGCTCTTTGCAAAGTGCCTGCCGCACATTGGGTGCTTAATAAATGTTTATTGACTTGAAAACATTTTGAGCAGAGTGATATGAATGCCCAATCCTATACTGGGGATAGGAGAAAAAACTGATTTTTTTAAAAAAATTCTGAATTTAAGAAACGCCAACTTTTCCATATAAACAACAGCACAGAAGAAGATTGTACATGAAACTAGGAATCTCTATTATGCACCCCTTGGTATATAAGATCAACCTACAGCTTGTCTGTGCTTTTTTTCTGGCCTTCCTCTTCTGTTCTTTTTTAAAAAAATGCTTCGATGACCATTCTTTCTTTTCTTTTTCTCTCCTCCTCCCCACCTTTTTTGTTTTTGGCGCCCCTACCCCTCAACTCCCTCTTCCCCCAACTCTCTTTTTACAACTAAAAAAAAAAAAAGAAAGAAAGAAAAGCAAAACCTTTGTAATAACTATACCCAGCTGAACAAAACAAACTCTCATCAGGTTGCCTCTGAGGAGTGCAACAATAACAATAATACCTAACATTTCTATAAACCTTACTATGTGGCAGGCATTGTGCAAAGTGATTTATAACTATTACCTCATTTGATCCTCATAACAACCCTGGGAGAAAGGTGCTCTCATCACCTCCATTTTACAGTTGAGGAAACTGAGGAAAACAGAGTAAAGTGACTTGCCTAAGGTCACACAGCTAGTAAGTGTCTGAGGCTACATTTGAATTCAGGTCTTCCCTGACTCCAGGCCTGGCACTATCTACTTGCCCACCTCCATCAGCTCTCTCTATAGGAAGGAGAAACCAGACAGCTATATTAAGGGTGGAGCTGGGGCCAAGATCTGTTAGAAAGACATGCCAATAGTCCAGGCAGCCTCGTGGCAGAGCGGAAGCCTTGAAAATAGAAAGGGGGGAAACTGTGAAGACAGCAGCAGTGTGAAGGTAGAGGCAAAGGAAGGATGCATTCGTGGGCTTGGAAACTGATTAATGAGAAAGGAGGGAGAAGGAGAAAAGTCACCATCACATTCCCCAGCAAACACTTACTATCATTCAATAGGTATTTATTATTAACTGCCTACAATGTGTCAGGCAGAGGGGGAGAGAGACGGAGAGACAGAGTATTATATATGTGTGTATGTGTGTATATATACACATATACTATATATAGCCCTGGGGATATAAAAAGAGGCCAAAGCCAGTCCCTGGCCTCAAGGAGCTTAAAAACCTACTGGAATTACTTACAAGATTTACAATCTAATGGAATTTGCTAAAAACTTACTACGTGCCCAGCACTGTGCTAACCATAAAGGTCAAAGTTATCAGGAAGGTTTCAAATATTTGAAGCAGCTAAAGTGGCACAGGGGGATGTTTGGGGAAAAGACTTGAGTTCAAATTCAGCCCAAGGTATCAGCAGGACCCCTGACAACTCACTTAACCCCTCTTGCCTCATTTTCCTCTTCTGTAAAATGGGGAAAATAATAGCACCTATCTCCCAGCGTTGTTAAGAGGATCTAATGGCCAAGTTATAGAAATGTTAAGTTAAATACATTAATACATTTATTATGGAAAATAAATGGTATACCTATCATACTATGCTAGCTATTATGGTGGTTACTTATGGGTTTAGTGGCATTCATGACAGCAGAAAGGAAGTTCCCCGAGGGGACAGGCTTTGGGAGAAATAAAGTGACAGGAAAATCGGTGGACGCTGGAGTTTGAAGGGGAGGGGGGACCACCCATGATGAGGGTCAGCGCCCGGGACACCCTCGGGGCTAGAGGCACATCCAGCCTGCTCAGAGCCGACCGACGGAGCCTGGAGAGGGAAGGACCGTGTCTAGGACAAAGGGGGAAATGCAGAGTGGAAGCTCCCTGAGGCCAGGGGCGGTTTCATATGCTTTGCATACAGTGGGCGCTCAGTTCATGCAGAATTAAAAGGGAAGGGCTAGAAAAGCTAGGAAAGCAAGGAGAAAAGAAGGGGATTCGGAGGAGATGGGCACGGGGAGCATCCCGCAGCGGCGGGAGGCCGGGTGCGCTGCGGCTGCAGGTCAGGGAGAGGACAGGCCCAAGGGCAAAGCCCCCTGGGGAGAGGGAGGGAAGAAGTCCAAAACCAAGAGCCCAGGAGGGGTGGGGCTGCAGGCGTCCGCAATCGTGCGGGGCCCCGCCGCCGGTGACTCCCCGGGGCGGGCGATCGTGATCGGGGTCGCGGAGCCCTCACGAGACAGCAGCGAAGCGGACAGGCGGCGCCCGGCTTCCCGGCTCGGGGACGGAGCGCTTACCTCGCGCCTCTGCTCGTCCTCCGACTCCGCCGCCGGTCCATGTCCGGGTGCTCGAAGTGCTCGGGACGGAGCTGGAGCCGCCGAGGACGAGAGCGCGCCTCGGGCCCCTCCGCGCTCAGCCCCGGCGCGGGCTTCCGGCGCAGCTTCAGGAGCTGTTGAAAGTCCAAGCCCGGATTTCTCCGCGGACCGGATTTACCCCCTCTGGGCCGGCTGCACAAGCTGACCCGATCTTTCAAGCTAAATCCGGGCCGGGTTTTCCCTCCTGCCCGCAGCCCGCCCCGACTTTCAAATTCCACTGGCTGCGTGCTCTGCCTGCGTCTCTTCCCCCCAGCCACTGAGCGGTCTCCGCAGGCGGGGCGGGCGCTTTGGGACTCAGGCCCCGCCCCCTGCCCCTCCCCATTTGTACCTCCAGCCCCACGTGGCTCCAGGGGCACCGAAACCTGCCAATCATACATCTTTAATCAGTCAATCAGATTGTTAACAGGCTACAGCAAGTCAACAAAGAATTTATCAGACGCCTACTATGTGCCTGGCACCGTGTTAAGCGCTGGGAATACAAAGGAAGGCAAAAACTGCCTTCAGGAAGCTAAAAAATGGGAGAATATACAAACAGTTTGGGAGAGGATTTTATCAGAAGCTGGAGGGACCAAGAAAGGCCTTGTGTGGAGGAGGTGGACCTTGGGCTGAGCCTTAAAGGAAGCCAGGGATGCTAAGAGCCAGATCGTGAAGGAGGCTATGCCAGGTATCAGGAACAGACAATGCAGAGGTGCCAGGAGAGGATTTGGAGTGACATGTGAGGAACAGTACGTAAGCCAGTGTGGCTGGATTATAGAGCATGTGGTAGGGAGTAGAATAAGATTGGAAAGGTAGGAAAAGGCCAGATGGTGAAGAGCTTTAAATGCCAGAGAATTTTATATTTGATCCTGAAGCTAATAAGGAGCCACCAAAGTTTGGCAGCCAGGTGGCATTGTGGATAGAGTACCATTCCAGAGTTCAAATCCAGCCTCAGACACTTACTGGCTGTGTGACCCTGGGCAAGTCAATTAACCCTGTTTGCCTCAGTTTCCTCATCTGTCAAGTGAACTAGAGAAGGAAATGGCAAACCACTCCAGTATCTCTGCCAAAAAAAACTTCAAATGGGGTCACAAAGAGTGAACACCAAAAAAAGTTTGTCGGGGGACATAGTTACACCTACACTTTGGGAAAATCATTTTGGCAACTGAGTGGAGCATGGATTGGAGTGGGAAAAACTTGAGAAACCAGTCCAGGTGAGAGGTGAATAGGTCTAGCATGTGGCTATATGATTGGGGAAATGGGAACATATATTGTATGTTTGGTTTTTTGCAAGGCAGTTGGGGTTAAGTGACGTGCCCAGGGTCACACAGCTAGTAAGTGTCAAGTGTTAGGTCTGAGGCTGGATTTGAACTCAGGTGTTCCTGACTCCAGAGCTGGTGCTCTATCCACTGTGCCACCTAGCTAACCCTAGACAGCTTTTTCAAAAGTCGTTTAGCTGAGGAGAAGAAAGATGTTGGATTAGAGCTGGAGGATGTAGTAGAATCTAGTGAAGGTTTTAAGGGTGGTAAAGACATGGGCATCTTTGTACGTGCCATGAAGGAGCCCACAGATTGAGATTAAGACAGAAAAGTGTGTGTGTGTGTGTGTGTGTGTGTGTGTGTGTGTGTGTGTGTGTGTGTGTGTGTGTTGGGGGGGAACTTCATGGTCATATCACCAGCAAGATCAGTCGTTCCATTAAGTACTATGTGCCAGGCACCAGGGATACAAAGAAGGTAAAAACTAAACAGTCCCTGATCTAAAGTAGCTCAGAGTCTAGTGGTGGAGACAACATGAAGCCACGTACCAGCAAGATATGTACAGGACAGATTGAGGGTAGTATCAGAAGGAAGTCACTAAGATTAGAGAAGCTTCTCTGCAGAACACAGGCCTTTAGTGGAGACGCCAAGGAAGCTAGGAAGTAGAAATGAGGAGGGAGAGAATTCCAGACATGAGAGACAAGCAGTAACAATGCTAAATTGGAGCAGCGAGGAGACCAGTGTCACTGTCACTGAAATGTGGAGTATTGGAGGGAAGTAAGGCGTAAGAAGACTGGAAAGGGCCAGGTTATGAAGAATTTTGAAAGCCAAACAGACAATTTTATACTTGATTCTGGAAGCGATAGAGAGCCACCTGGGATTTATTGATAGGAAGGTGACATGGTCAAACCTGCATTTTAGTAAGATCACTTTGGCAGGTGAGTGGAGGATGGGGTGGGGAGAGACGTGGGAGGGTGGTCAGCTGGAAGCCTGTTACAATAGTACAGGCATGAGGTGAGGAAGGCCCGTACCAAGATGGTGGCAGTGGCAGAGGAGAGAAGGGGGCTAATTGGAGAGATGTTAAGAAGGTAAGATAAATGGGCCTTGGGAACAGATTGGATAGAGAAAGGTGAGAGAGAGCGAGGAATTGAGGACACCTAGGCCTCAAGCCTGGGGGACTGAGAAGATGGTGATGCTTTTGACGGGAATAGGGAAGTCTGAGTGTTCTGGGGAGAAAGACAATCAGTCCAGTTTTAGCCAGGTTAACTTTAAGTTGTCTTTAGGACATCGAGTTCCAGATGTCCAAGAGGTAGCTGGAGATGAAGACTGGAAGCAGCAGAGAGGTTAGGGCTGGATAAATAGATCTGAGAATCATTAGCATAGATATGACAGTGGAATCCCAGGGAGCTGATGAGCTCACCCAAAGAGAGTTCAAAGAGAAAAGAGAAGAAGGGCCAGGGAAGAGCTTTGGAGGAACCTCACTGCTGGCTGCCATGAAGTGGATGAAGATCCAGCAAAGAATATTGGGAAGGAGCAGTCAGAGAGGTTAGAGGACTGAGAGAGAGGAGATGGAAGACTAGATAGTGTCTCCAATTGTAATACCACCCCCACACACACACATAAGAATTATGGGCAAGAGGTAAAGTTATTTCAACCGTCTCTACAGGGCAAGATGCCAAAAAGACTAATAAAGTAACAAGATGATGGTTCTGGAACATCAGACAAGGCAAATCCCTAATTCCTATTAAGCTCACTCAGCCCTCTCTGCCTCTGATCAGCCCCCATGCTCCAGAAGGACAACCCAACCCGAGGGCCATCTCCAGTCGTCCTGATCTATGTCTTGTCACTGGACCCAGATGGCTCCAGAGGAGAAAGTGAGGCTGGTGACTTTGCACAGCCCTGCCTCACTTAAATCTATTCCACTTGCTAGTCATGGCATCACCTTCCTGATGTCATGGCCCTCTTCAAGAACGAAGGACACCCCAGCCAACCCATGGGCTTCGACTCCTAGCTGCAGCTATAACCTTGCCCCAGCCTTTGCCCACCCTTTTGCCACAAGCTGAAGACCTCAACCTGCCCCCTGTCCCCACCCCTCACTTGTGGTGGGAGCTCTACTGGCTCTACCAGCAGCATGAGGCCAGAAAACTAAAAACAGCTGATTCTCAGAATCTTCTTATGCTTAGAAGCCTTCCAAGCCACCTCCTTTGTAAGACCTTTACTCATCTGCAAAACTGTCGCTACATTCTCCCTCAAATTATCTTGTGTTTACTTGTCTGTTTAGATGGAAACAGCTAGTTAGCAAGATGGTAACTAGGCACTGGATTTGGGATCAGGAAAACCAGGGTTCAAATTCTGCCTCAGTTACTTACTAGCTGTGTGACTCTGGGCAAGTAACTTACCTGTTTGCCTCTGTTTTTTCATATTTAAAATGGTGTTCAACTTGATGATTTCTCAGATTCCTTCAAGCTCTGCATCTGTGATCCTGTGGTCCAGAGATTTTCTCCATGAAGAATCTTCCAGGGGGCAGGTAGGTGACGCAGTGGATAGAGCACAGGCCCTGGATTCAGAAGGACCTGAGTTCAAATCCGGTCTCAGACACATAACACTTCCTAGCTGTGTGACCCTGGGCAAGTCACTTAACCCCCACTGCCCCCCCCCAAAAATCTTCCAGTACGTTACAGGTTTTTTTCTATGTCCGTATTTCATAGGGACCAGTATAGTCCTCAGGTTCACCATCTCTTGTCCCTATAGAGACAGGTTGGCTCTTCATTCATGGCCAATCTAACTCCTGTTTGGATCATACTTGTTTGTTTTTTAATAACTTTTCATTTGCTACTTTCCTCAACTGTAAAATGGAGATAATAATAGTACCACTTTCCAGGGGTTTTGTGAGGATCAAATGAGATGTTATTTATAAAACTCTCATGCAATGCCATCCTCTCTCCCTTCCTTTCCCCTTCTCTCCCTCCCTCCCTTCTTCCCTTCTTTCCTTTTCTCCTTCCTTCATCCCTTTCTTCCCCCCTTTCCTTCCCTCTCTTCCATCTTTTTCTTTTTTTGTAGGCAGTGGGGTTAAGTGACTTGCCCAGGGTCACACAGCTAGTAAGTGTTACGTGTCTGAGGCTGGATTTGAACTCAGGTCCTCCTGAATCCAGGGCTTGTGCTCTATCCATTGTGCCACCTAGCTGCCCCTCCCTTCTGTCTTCCTTTTATTCCTTCCTTCCCACCTTCCTTTTTCTCTTTCTTCCTCCGTCCCTCTGTTTCTTCCTCTGTCCCTCTGTTTCTTCCTCCCTCCCTCTGTTTCTTCCTTCCTTCCTTTTTCTACTTGTTATATCCCTCAGTAGAGGGCAGAGTACTTGTAGTCACTGTGATTAGTATGTATGTCCCCTAGCAGGCACTTGACAAATATTCATTGAATAGTTGAATTGTACGAAATAACCCCTGATTAAACTCTTGGTATCATGATCTAGTGGGTTTTTATATCCTCTCCAAAAGGCTTCATCCCACTTATGTAATTAAATAACCTCCTATTTGAGGTTTTGACATCCCAAGATAGGTATTCCTTAAATTCTCTTTTTGGAAAGGAACCTAGTTTATCTCTGTTACATATGATGCTAATTCTTGGTTTCAGATATGTACAATTTTAAGGGGAGAAACTAGAAGCCTTTCCAATAAAATCAGGGGAGAAATAAGGATGTCCATTGTCACTATTTCTCTTTGACATGGTACTAGAAATGCTGACTATAGCAATGTCTAGAAAAAGATAGTGTCAGAAATAACCACAGGTAAAGAAGAAACAAAATTATCATTTATTGCAGATGATATGATGGTGCACTTGAAAGACCCTTGAGAATCAACTTAAAAATTAATTGAATCTTTTGAAAATTTCAGCAACGTTAAAGGACAGAAAACAAATCCACATATAATTGGCATTTCTGTATAATACTAATGGGGGGAGAAAGCAGGAACATATATATATATATATATATATATATATATATACACACACACACACCACACACACATACATACATATACATACACATGTATACATATACATACATATACACACACACGTATGTATGCCAGGAACTGTGCAGAGCACTTTATAAATATTCTCATTTGATCCTTATGATAACCTTGGGAGGAATGTGTTATTATGA